AGAGGGGGAGTGGATGGACGCCAATCAAACCTTCTAAGTGACCTCTCAGGTGCCACGTTGTCGCTCAGAGTTGTTGTGCCATTTCATCTACACAAAAACAGCATAGAGAAGCCGATTGTCTCTGGGTGAACAGTGTTCGTCCACCAGTCGCCCGACGACCACTGATGCTGGTGTGTATTCCCCCCCCCTCATCCACCATCCCCACCGCCCACCCTAATCCCACTCCACCTACGCCTACGTCCGTTACTGGCCCTACTGATCTGTCTCAACATGTAATCCCTAATCACCCGTGAGAAATTATTACTCTGTATTCCGTAGGCTGGGTCACTCTGATACAGATGAGGCATTACTGAGAAGGTAGGTTAGCCGACGTTGTTTTCTAACTCAGGAGTACTTGTAAATATTTATCACGACTGCGTGACTAGAGCAGTTGGGGGATGTAATTTAAAACGCTTACGGGCATAAAATAACGTTGAGGGAGGGGAAAGCCGGGAGTTTGGGTTCACGTGTCCAGAGATGCTGTTACCAGAGTGCTCAGAGATGTGTAGCAAGTAGAATGTTGGTTGAAGTTTGAGCACCACAATAATTAGACTGTGTCCCAACTAGCAGGATAAGGTGAAAGACTTCCGAATGTGGGTTTCATTAAGCACATAGATCATGGTTGCGTTCTTATGCAACAATGGCGGCCTCCAGAACCAGGGTGTGCGTGTTGACAGTTGTGCTCCCTAAACGCTTCGGCCGCGCCAGCCACCTGCGCCCGATGCCGTTTCTGGTCTCTTTGATTCTGCCTTGACACCAGGCTGAGGTGAGTGAAGGAGGAGAGGGTGTGGTAGATGCCGCGTAAGTCTACTATCGTTTTAAACTAATTCACGCGCAAGTCACCGTCCTCGCACCACCCTGACGGTGGATATCGTCGAAATCGATGGTCGGACTCTTGCTCCCTAAACTGGCCACGCAGTGGATGTGCTGGACTAACAGGGCGGCTAGATCAGGACATGGCAGGCGTTATGCGGGTTACTTTCTCATAGCAAATGCTGAACATAGGGAAGGGAGGCGTGTTGGTGGAGCGCGTAAGTGTAGGTTTAGGCATCAGCCCCACGTGGCCTTTCTGGCGCTCCCACTCCGTGGGATCTGAGTAAGGCATGGCGGCTCCGGTTGCCTGCACCTGATCCAACCTCCGGTCTTCTTGACTCTCTCT